TTGTTGATTCCAATCCAAAAACTTTCATTTTCGGAACAATTTTTTTTGTTTCTAATTTATGAAATTACAATTTCCGATTTGCTGCTACGAATCTCATCCAATGATTTTTCAATTAATTTGTTCACAACCGATAAGTTCGAGTACCAAATATCACAATGAGGGACCAAAAGTGTAATTATCCCAAAAACAAGGTAACAGAAAGAAAGACTAGAGGATAATAAGCAGATAAAAACTATGTGTGTATTGTAGGTTTTAACGGTATAACCGAGAACTATCAGCAGAATATATAAACGATTTCTCCGTAAATACTTCTTAACTTACGAAGCTTATAAGAAAGAATCAAAAAGACTCACAAACTTTGTCTCCATTTCAATGCAAAGTGAGTACGATAATGTTCCCTTGGTCGATAGTTCGGCAAATCCGACAGAGTTATCGAGCGCCATTCTTCTCGACCGATCTCCTTAATTTCCAAACTGGCTCGCTCCAAATCCCGCAACCACAACTCATGTCTGAACTGATGTCGGTCTCGACTCTCTCTCCGCATTAGACTATTCCACGCAAACTCGGCAACTTTCATCTCCCAGCTCTTGAAGACAATGTCGCCGATGCTAGCCGGGCGACAAATTCGAAACAACCCGTTTAAGAGCGTCGAGAAGCAAGACAGGCCGGCATTCAGTTGCAAGCACTCCACCGCGATAGGTTCGCCGCAACCGTCATCGTCGAGTATTTCGTGAATTATGTGTTCTTCATCGAAAGGCGTGGGGTTGTTGTCGTCAATTGCCAGACAAATATTCGAGTGGCTTAACGACTCGAGCAGTGCTTTCAGCTTGACGAACCAATTAGAAGAAGCATCGTTCGAATCCAAGCATATATACGTGTTCCACTCGTTGGAAGTTGTTGTAAACGAGATGGACGGGATAAAGCATCCCGCGTATCCAAAACACACCATATTCGGCGCGTCGATAGATATATGCGATTCTTTGAGTCCGTCGCAATACCGCAGGTTCAAGCGTTTGAGGCTCGGGAATTCACACGTCGACAAGTTGTCCAGCGAGGATTCGACGAGGCACAGACTTAAGTCCTTGAGATTACGAAAATCCGCGCCTTTCTGAAAAGGAATATTACTGCGGCTAATTTCGAGGGTTTCGAGAGATGTGGGGTATATTATTATTATCGTCTGAAGAGTGTCGTCCTTAACGTAGACTTCCTCGAGACGAAGTTTTTTCAGATGCTTAGAGAGTGCTATTCTTTCGATCGCCTCTTGCTCCAAAACGAATCGTTCCGCGTGCAAATCTTGGAGCGATTCTTCTCCAAACACTACGCGCGGCAGTTCAACACGTACGGCGGACTTATAGTACTCGTATTGAATCGAAAGACGGAACTTCTTCACCCCCATAGCTGTGAGTAACGGGATCCATTTCTCGAGAAACGGAACAGATTTACGATCCGAATAGGTAACTGATATAGAAAGGTGAAATTCCTCCAGGCACAGGTTTTGATCTCGGTACAGCTGTAAATTCTTGTCGACAACGGATAGAAATTCTTTTTTGTTGTTACCTTTGAAGCTGTTGTCTGAAAAATCGAGATTGGGGCGAGTACGCCAAACGTAACGCCATGATTTCGACAAGACAGATGTTCGAACAGCATATTCTTGGGAGAGGAAATAAAGAATTCTCTGCAAGATGTCTTTTGGCAACTCGGATATTCTGTCCACTGAGTTGGAATCGTTTTCTCCTTTTGCTCTTTTCATGAGATTTTTCTCCGTAGCCTTCTCTATTAGGGTTTGCAAATAGCTAGAGGCGTCCAATTACAAACCTATGGAATTCTCTTCATATGGAATATAAAGATTACATTACAGAACTTACGCGCAGCCCACTTCTATGTATATAATTATAGGGCAAATTACTAGAAATCCCTGAGGTAAGGTCTAATTATGAAAATTCCCCTCGTGTTTGAGTAATTACGAAAATCTCTCATTATTACTTTTAACATAACATTTTTTATTATATGAAATATTTCTCTGAAAATGTCATTTTTGTCCTTCACTGGTGACACGTTTAAGCATATTAATTACTTAGAGGTAAATTGTAATATATTTACAAAATATATACTTATTTTAATTTTAAAACTAAATATATATAAATTAATAAAATATATCTTCTAACGGGAAAATTACATTTTTCGTCCTCATACTTTACTCACTTTTCCAAAACTGTCCCTAAACATTTTGGAGTTACAATAGTAGTCCTTAATCATGCCATTTTTTGACAGAATTGGTCCGCCGTTAGTTTTTGCCGTTAAGTTGGATGGAAAATGGCATGTGCCTCTCACATGCCTTCAATTTACAACACTACATGAAAATGGACTTTCAACAACACGCATTGCATCTTGTTAAAACATATTTTTTTTAATTATTATTTTTAATTAATTAATATAAAAATGAAATCACGTAAATTCCAAAAAAATCAACTCATTCCGGAAATACTGTTTAAAAAATCAAAATATAGTTTAAAATTTTAAAATATTGTTCCAAAATCGGCATTTTGGGAATTCAATTAAAATATATCGTTCCTAACCAAAATAAAAAAAAACCCGATAGGAATTGGGGAATTAGAAATCTCCATTCCAATTTTCACCTCCAGTCAATTCCAAAAATCCCAATTGTGAGACAATATGTCGAGTTTTAAATCATTCAATATGAGTGAAAATTGGAAATGAGTTTTCTTATGCCGCCTAGTTTGATCGAATTTTTATTTTATTTTAAACTAATATTTTCATTCAATTTCCAAAATTCCGATTTTAACTTATTTCTTTAGACAATATTATGATTTTTTAAATAATATTTTTGAATTTATTTTGAAAAAAAATATCGAGTTTTAGATTATTACATAAGGGTGAAATTTGGAACGGAGTTTTCTTACTCCGCCTATTACGATCAGATTTTTATTTAACAATAATTTTCATTTGGATTCAAGAAATTCCGGTTTTAAAACATTATATTATTATTTTATACAATACTTCTAAAAATATTTGGAAATAATATATCGAGTTTTACATTATTAAATTAGGGTGAAGATTGAAATGGAGGTTTCTTATCTCACCTATTCGGATCGAATTTTTATTTTATTTTGAAACAATGTTTTCATTTGAATTCCGAAAATCTTGATTTTAAAAGCAATATTTCATTTTTTTAAACAATGTTTCAATTGTTTAAATATTATTTCTCAAAATATTTTAAAACAATATTATCGACTTTGCTTTTTTGGATGTTATATAATTTCGAATTTCAATCAAGTTTTAATTATGAAAAATATGTTTTAACAAGACGCAATGCGTGTTGTTGAAAGTCAATTTTCATGTAGTGTTGTAAATTGAAGGCATGTGAGAGGCACATGCCATTTTCCATCCAACTTAACGGAAAAAACTAACGGCGGACCAATTCTGTCAAAAAATGGCATGATTAAGGACTACTATTGTAACTCCAAAATGTTTAGGGACAGTTTTGAAAAAGTGGGTAAAGTATGAGGACGAAAAATGTAATTTTCCCATCTTCTAACATTAAAATTTTTTTCTTTGTTTTGTTTACATTTTTATATTTTTTTTATTAAATGAAATTGATTTTACATATTTTTATAACAAAAAAAAGAAAAAAGGAATCCTTTCGAATGCTTAACACGTCAAATTAAAAGGAGACATAATCAGACTAATTAAAAAACTTTTATTTTCGGAAAAAAAAAAAAAGAGAAAAACCATTGTTTTTTGTTCTTTTTTTTTTCCGTGCTCTGTGGCATAAAATAAGCTGAATGAAGCTAAATAGTTTTGAATCAATAAGAAGACATTTTTTTCAAAATTTGCTTGGGGCCCAAAATTCCCTAATAACTCGAAAAAGCTTCTCGCATAATTCTCCAGCAACATACCTCCGGAGATTTTCATAAATCACAGATGTGGCGGGATTTTTGTACCTCAGGGCGTTTCTCATAATTTATACCTCAGGGCGTTTCTCATAATTTATCCTTCGTTCTTTTTTTCAAATAACTGAAGGATAAAAAACGAACAAAATACAATTTCTATGAGTAACAGTCAAACACTGGTCATAGGGGTTTTTCGTAATTACAGAAACATGAGAAAGATTTTTATAATTAGGCCTTAGCTCAGGGGTTTCTCGTAATTTTCCCTATAAATACATATCATATGAGATGAGAGATATAAAAGTTACTATTTAATATTTTTACATAAGAAAAAAACCATGTAATTGGATCTCGAATTAGGCTTATTTGGCACTTTGCCCCAGGGTAAATTAGGAGAAACCCACGAACAAGGTCAAATTATAAAAATAAACTCTCATCTATAACAATCCATAACGAGTTAATAGTATTTTGTTATCTGTACTTTGTCCGTTTTTGCACATTGCCATCTGTACTAATTTTTTTTGCACACCCAAATCTGCTATTTTGACTCACTTAACCACTTAAGACTAATATTCTGACGAAATTCTCATTTTCCGGTAAAAATACTTTATAATATGGGGACTAAAAGTGTAGTTTTCCCAACTACAACACTACAGACTTTATAAACTTGTCAAACTCCAATTCCAATGAGACTAACGAAATTCAAGAAATATTTTACCTTTAATAAAAAATTTAGATAACTTAACTTTATGGCCATGAAACTTACTGTAAGCAATCTTGATACAACTTTAAGTAGCAAGTAATAAATAAGCAGATAAAACAATGTTTTATAATTAAGTAAACAGATACTAGAACTATATATATATATATATATATATATATATCTGCCGACCGGCTGATCTATGATTTATGAAGCTTAAGAGGACTCAAACACTCACAAATTGTCTCCATTTCAATGCAAAGCGAGTAGAGATACGTTTCCCTACCTCATAGTCCGGCAAATCTGACAAACTTGTCGGATCCTATATTCTCTTCGATTCTTGTCGTATATCTCCAAGCTTACTTCCTCCAAAGCCGGCAGCCACAGCTGTTTTAATTGATCTTGGTATCATAGAGTCCGTCACAATGTGAAATAGACAAGTTAACAAGACTCGGGAATTTACACGAAGAGAAGTTGTCAAACGAAGTCAACATGACATGGTTCAGACATAAACTTTTGAGATTCTGAAACTCCGCGCCTTTGGGAAACAAAACATCCGCATGCCCAATATTGATGGTTTCAAGAGACGCGGGATGGATTTCGATGCTACATTTTTCGTCCGGCCTAGATGAAAAGTGAAATTTCCTGAGACGAAGAAGATTGTTCACCTTGATGTTTCTTAAGGTCTTGCATGATTTGACTAACAGGATTTCAATCAAAGGACAACTTGAGATTATCTTCTGAAAAACCCCGTCCTCAATTTCGACCTTTACGAGAAGAAGTCTTTTCAGATGCTTAGAGAGAACATTCCTTCCAATAGTTGTTTGGTCCAACGTGAATCCTTCCATATGCAAATCTTGGAGAGATTCAGCCTCAAAGACTACAGACGGCAGTTGACGACTGTATTTCCAATAAATAGAAAGTCGAAACTTCTTCACACCCATATTTTTTAGAGTTGGGATCCATTTTTCAAGAAACGAAACAGATTCGTGATTGTCTAGAATTATTCGGAGGCTAAATTCCTCTAAGCACATCCTTTGATCACAATATCGCTGTAAATTCTTTTCCACAGTGTTTAGAAATTCTTGTTTGTTATCCCTGAAGTTGTTGAATAAAAAATCAAGATTGGGGCGAGTGCACCAAATATTACCCCATGATTTCGACAAGACAGATGTTCTGACAGCTTCCTTTTGGGAGAGGAAATAAAGTATTCTCTGCAAGATGTGTTTCGGCAACTCGGATATCATGTCCATGGAGTTGGAACCAGCGTCTTCCCTGTTTGCTTTTTTCATGCCTCTAATCTGATAAACCCTAACGAGTTTGTGTGCTGAATAAAATCAAAGTTGATGTGGTAAACAAATAATGATGGATTAACGGCTGAAGATTACCCTGTTCTATTAGGTAAGCATCGGTCGGTTCAAATTTGAGGAGGAGTAATTTCTATTGCTTACAACTCTACAAAAGGTAGAATTCCTTGTTTTAATATTCTTGGGCAAATTTACCAAAACCCCCTGAGCTAAGTCTGAATAACGGAAATCCCCCACGTTCTCGTAATTACGAAAACCCCCCTGAGGTATGCAGACATCTTACAAATCGCTCTAACGGTGTTAGACTAGATATAATCTTTTTGATTCTCCCGAATATTCCTCCGATAATACCAATTTTGCCCTTGTACACGAAATTACCCTTAGGGGGTAATTGTAAGCATTTTATTTAATGAGGGGTCATAAATATATACTCTTCATGAAATATATAAGTGTCTGCAAAATACTTATTTTTCTTAAATTAAACCCAAATATAATCAATCATTATGAATGTACAATGTATTTTTATTGGATTAAATAAAATCAATGGGTGAGATTTCAAAATTTAATTATTTTTTATATATAAAATTAAATATTTTACAATTTGAGAAATACAACCATGCATCATTCAAGCTAAAAGCATAAATCCGTATGAATACTCCTCTGGATAAATAAAATCAATTAAAATATATAAATAAAAAAAATAAAAAATTATAATATCAAATTACCAATACAAATTACAAAGTAATAAATAAAAGCAATAAATCATCTACTGAAAGGGATGTCAGGGGGGATTTTCGTTATTTAGGCTTACCTCAGGGGCGTTTTGGTAATTTGCCCTTTATTTCTTACATATTTAACAGAAGGATATAATAGACATTTTACGTTTTCGGTTAAAAAAATTCGGTCAACCGTTAGTCAAGGGGGGTTTTCGTAATTACGAGAACGTGAGGGGGATTTTCGTTATTTAAGCTTACCTCAGGGGGGTTTTGGTAATTTGCCCTAATATTCTTAGTTACAGAACCCACTTTTTATGTACACGCCAATTATGGGAAAAATTACAATTTATCCCACAAATTTGAATTGATTTTATATTTAGTCCCATATGTTTATAAAAAAACATATCTAGTACCTCATGTTTTACAAATTCAACATTTTTAGTTATTTTCATCAATTTTCAGGACAATTACAACTTTTTGTCCCTCGTGTTTGGCCCGATTCTACTTTTTTTCCCCGTTGTTCCAAAGTAAACAATGTTCACCTCCAAAGTTCAATTTTAAACACTTTCTGTCCAACCAAAATTAATAAGTAACGAAAACACTATTTCAGGTCCAACCAAAATTGACATTTAAAATTTTTTTGAGGCTAGAAAATAATTAGAAATTTAAAATATACTGCTTATAATTAAATGTTTAATAATAATAATAAAAAAATTAACTAGAACAATATTTAAACTCTCTGACACCATAAAAACAAATTTCCAACCTTAAAACTCCTCAAAAACAAAACCACCAAAAACAAAAAATTCCAAACCGAAAATAAAATAATTAAAATATTTTTGGGGCTGGATAATAATTAGAAATTTCATATATACTAGTTATAATTAAAATTTCAGTATTATATCTTTTGGCCGACTTAATTTCCTTCTTTAAAGATTCTTAATTTTTATACACAGCTAATTATGTTATTGCCTAGACATACAAATAAGGATAAGAATAAAAAGAAGTTTGCTCCCTAAACTTAGGGTCGTTTTGCTCTTTGACCCTTAAACAAAAAAAAAACCTCAATGTGTTTATCTGAACTCGTTAATTCGTTGTACGGTGACCCTTAGACCAATTTTCAGGCAAATTTTGGCCGCGTTACACGTGGATTTGCTGGGATAAACTAGGAGTGGTAAACGAGCCGAGCCGAGCCGACTCGGAAGCTCGATGAGCCGGCTCGAAAAAAACTCGAACTCGAATTCGATTTATCGAGCTCGAGCTCGAGTCAGTTTGTAGTTGTTCGTGAGCTCGCGAACTTTATTTATTATTTTTTTATATTATTTTTTATTTAAACAATGTATAATAATATAAAATATTATAGAAATAAATAAAAATTAAATAGAAATATTAAAAAAATGGGGTCTTAGGATATAGGTCCGTGGTGACAAAACTTATTTGAACTAAATGACAAGTCTAACTAAACATTTTCTTCACATCCTTTATAAAATTCATTCCAAAAATACCCCTCACAAAAAATTGAAATATTTATTAAGTAAATTCCATACTGCATTTATCATTTTATTTAGGGTAAAATTCATTTTGCACCCCTGTACTATGATAAATGTATCGTTTACCCCCCTGAAGTATTGAAAACATCAAACACCCCCCTGCCGTTAGTTTTTTTCTTCTAATTCCGTTAGTCAAACACTTTGACCGACTATTGCAAAGAAATGTTGGCTTTTTTTTAATGAAAATACCCCAAAAAATTTCTATATATAGGAAAACTAACGGCACAAAACCCACAAAAAATGAAAACTAAAAGCCCTGAAATCTATATATAGAAATTTTTTAGGGTATTTTCGTTAAAAAAAAGCCAACATTTCTTTGCAATAGTCGGTCAAAGGGTTTGACTAACGAAATTAGAAGAAAAAAACTAACGGCAGGGGGGTATTTGATGTTTTCAATACTTCAGGGGGGTAAACGATATATTTATTATAGTACAGGGGTGCAAAATGAATTTTACCCTTTTATTTATTATGCATTTAACATTTTCATATTTCAATCTAATATTTTTTTTCTTCAGAATATCTGTTTGTCTTCGTTTTTTTCTTTATTTGTTTTAGCATTGTATACACTATTATAAAAATTTCTTTATTTTTTCTACATAATACAGTATTGAGAATTACAAAAAAAAAAAAAAAAAAAAAGAAGACATGCTATTTTTTTTTTTTATTTCAATTTACATATTTTCAATTTTCTTGTAGTATACTATGGTATATTACGATGTACTATAGTATACTATAGTGTAGTGGTGTACTATGGTATACTACGGTGTACTATGTTTTACTATCAAACCCTAGCCACCAAAAACTCCTAACCGTCGTAAACCCTAGCAGCCGCCGCCAACCATAGCAACCCATGCTCGCAGCCGCCGCGATTGTAGTCACCTACCAACATTGAGAAAACTTAGATCTGACATTTGAACCCAAATCAAGCAAAAATCTTTCAAAACACAAGGAAATCAGATCCAATTGATTAGTCAAAAATATTCTTTCCATAACACCTCAACCATATTAATTCACAGCCCCCACCCGCCGTCGCCGCCTCCACCGGCCGCCGTCGTGGCATCCACCCGCCGCCGCCGCCTCCACCACAGAGATCCACCGCCCCTGCTCCTGCCTTCGTGCAACTACTGGGAGTAAGAGAAAGATAGAGATAAGAGAAAAAAACGAGAGGAGAGAAATTGTGAGAGATAGAGAACGTGTGTGAGAGAGAACGTGTGAGAGAGAAAAAACAAAAGGAAGATAAATAAATTTTAATTGAACGTGAATGTCTAAGTTTATAAGATTTTTGGTATAAGGGCAAGATAGGAATTTAAAAAAAATTAGGGACGTGACTGATATATTATTTCAAACTAAGGATTTAATTAAAAGATAGAATTTGAGTTTTTCATTTACTTCAAATTAGGTTTCCTTTGAGGGGCTTATGGCATATTAACCCTACAAAATATATATCATTACAATTTATTATTCAGTTTATAATTTTTTAAAAATATTTTTGAAAAATAAGTACTCCTTTTCTCTCCCCCGGATTCAGTCTTCCGATGGCAGCCCCAACTCCAATTTGAACAAAGCGGCGGCGATAATTAAGAGCATGAGAAGAATTTGTAGCAGTAGGTGGGTGACGGTGGTACGAGACAGCGGCGGCGCTAGATTTTTTTTCCTGGTTAGGAGGTGGGCCGGCGGACTCGAACGAAGAAGAAATGTGAAAAAACTTTTTTTTTCCATTATTTTGGAATTTACATTTTGGTCCTATAAATTTAATTTATTTATAATTAATCATTTTTTGTCAATTAGAAATTTCATAGGGGAGGTATTTTAAATTAGCTCTTGTCTACAGAAAACAAGTTTGAATACAAAATATTACAATGAACTCACTATTTAATAGAAACACGGAAAGAGATTAGTTTAGTTTAAGGACTAAAGTAATTAATAAGTTACCCTTACCAGATACGACAAGTTTGAGTACGAAAAAAACAGAATGTATAATTCTAGAAAAAAAAACTATGTCTTATAAATTAACAGATACGTATTCGAGAGCAGACTACTTAATCTATGAAGCTTAGTAGAACTCAAAGACACACTAATTTTCCCTCCATTTCAATGCAAATCGAGTAGAGATACGTTTCTGTTCCTCGTAGTCTGGTAAATCTGACAAACTTGTCGGATCCCATTCTCTTCGATTCCTGTTGTATATCTCCAAGCTTACTTCCTCCAAATCCGGCAGCGCAGCCACAGCTGTCTTAATTCATCTTGGTTTCCACCTTCTCTCTGCATTAGATTGCGGACTCGGTGTTCGTGTAGTTGATATCGCCGATGGTCTTTGGACGACAAATGCAAAACAACCCATTCGAAAGAGGTGAAAAGTACGGTAAATCATCTCGTAATATCAACTTGTGCACCACAATTGCAGGTTTATTTTCATCTTTAATATCTTGTACCAGATCATGGTTTTCTTTAAATATGTCCTCAGCATTTATGCGTACCGACTGACAAATACTGAGAGAAATTTCAGATCGGCTTAACAACTCAAGCAGTTTATGTAGCTTAAGTAACCACAAAGAAGGATCATCCGTAAGAATCAGAAATAAAGTTGAACTCCACTGTCTAGAAGTTGTTGCGAAAGAGAAGGATGGGATAAGCAATCCATGATATCCGAAAGTATTTATGTTTGGGGCATCAATAAATAGATGTGATTCTTCTATGTATTCATCGAGTCCGTCACAGT